ACAGTGTTCAGTGGTGTCTCAGTCTTGATTCTTCTGTTCTCTATTACTGATGTCTGCTTTAATCTGCTATCTCTTTCTAATTTGGATTAGTTGAGCTCTTTTCTTCTTTTTAAATGAATTTACTTTCTTATACTTTTGCCACAATCTAAAAGTGCTGGCATGTGGTATGTTCATTGTCATTTCTCTCAAGATACTTTTCTAAATTTATGATTGCTTTGACCACTGGCTCTTTTAAAATGTGTTAATTTACATGTTGGTAAAGCTTCCAGTTTTCCTTTTGTATGGATTTCTATTTTCACTTCACTGTGCTCAAAATGGACCACTGATAGGACTTCAGCCTGCTTCAATTTGCTAAGATCTGTTTTGTAAACCAAAATATGGCCTATCCTGGAGAAGATTCTAAGAAAAAAGTGTGCATTCTATTATTATGTGGGGTGTTCCGTATGTATCTACTGGCTGAACTGGCCCTTAAAACCACCCTAAGTCCTAGTCACTTATTATTCTCCATTCTGAAAACTCAATCCATTACTCAGATTGGAGTATCAGATCCTTTTCTCCTTACTTTCTATTTTTCCTGCCAATCTGTCAAAGCACTTTGTGTCTGTGTACTCTGTTTTAAGTACAAATGTTTTTAACTTATATCTCAGGTAAACTGACACTTCTATCCTTCTGTAATACCCTTTATCTCTTACAACAGTTGTATGGTGTGTGTGTGTGTGTGTGTGTGTATACATATATATATGTGTGTGTGTGTATACATCTTCTCGCTATCTTTTAGCAACTATCCTTTCATTTTCAGTCTTTGTATGTCCTCATACCTGAAGTGAGATCCTGGCTCAGCTGGCAGAGTGCTTACCTAGACACACAAATCCCTGGCTTTGACCTCCAGCCACCATGTAGGCTGGGTGTGGTAGTGCACACCTGTCATCCCAGCACTGCAGAGCAGAGACAAATTCAAGGCCATCCAGCCACATTGTGAGTTTGAGGCCAACCTGGGATACATGAGACCTTGACAAAATGAAGTTTAAAAACAATGAGATACACACAATCTCGGGGTCACTATCTAAATGGTCCTAAAGTACATGAACAAAAAAATATATACTCAAATAAATAAATATACCCAAATTTTTAAAAGAAAATAAACCTGATTAAAATAGGTAAAAATAATAAGAAAAATAAAAGATAACATATAAAATGTAGAAAGATAACATATAAACTGTATGCTTGTAGAAGGCATACAGTTTGCTCTTACTGCATCACTGCCGCAGGCACTCTCCTGCACTCCACTCTTGCTCACTTTATGCAGTGAGGCCTCATTGGAATGCCTTAGTTTCAAGAGCCAGTGATCTTTTTCTCCCTCTGGTGTCTGTATCCAGTACTGCAGAATCTCTAGTACTGTGATAAGCTGTGTCCCAGCTACACAGTAGAGGAACAACATCTGGGCTTTCTACTATGCCATTCTTCAAAGTCATGCTTACACCATTCCTTCCATGTTGATTGCCCATTCACTTGTCTCTTCTGAAATGATCAGTGTATATCCCTGACACTTCCATCCTAGTCCTAGAGATGGACTCAGTCCACCAATCTTAGGACAAATGCACTTACCCCACTGAGCCACCTTGCAGAGTATACCACAATCTGTAATAAGCTACTTCACTGTTTATCAGTGTGGTTGTATTGATTCCCACACTCATGGCCAATATATGAAATCCAAACCACTAACATATATTAACGTGAGTGTTGTAAACTTTACTCACTTGGAGTGTGCATTGACACCTTTGATTTTTTTTCATTAGTTTTTTGGTTGCAGTAAAACATAAATAAGTTAATTTAACAACAGAACAGTAGTGACTAACACTAAATATGTTCACATGTTGTCTTCTCACCTTTTTTATGCAACTGTTTCCATTGCCCCCAACAAACTGAACACATTAATACTTCCCTTTCTTTCCTCCCTTCACCCTATGATCTCTGTTCTGCCTTCTAACCAATGAATCTACCTATTCTAGGACTTCATATATATATGGGATAAAAACATACTTGCTTTTGTGCTGGACTGGTTTTATTAAGTATGTTTACATGGTCATGCATACATAAAACTGCTATTTTTTTTTATACTGGACTTGTAACTCATGAAATATAAACACATCTTGTTCATTAGCTGTGATCAATGAATAAGACTGGTGTACAGACACCTGTTTTAAATTTTTTAGAATAATTTCCTAGTTAGCTTTAACCATCATCTTGATACAATTTAAAGTCACCCAAGAAGGGAGTCTCAATTAAGGATTACCCAACTCAGACTGGTGTGGGGATGTATGTGGGACATGATAGATGCTAACTGATGTGAAGAGGCCCAGCCTACTGTGGGTGGCACCATCCCTACGCAGGTGATCCCGGCTGTATAAGAAAGCTGTACAGGAGTGTGAGAGTGAGACAGTAAGCAGTGTTCCTTCATAGTTTCTGCTTAAATCTGTGCTAAAGTTTCTACCTTGACTTCATCCTCAGCAATAGACTGTGACCTGGAAAGCAGATAAACCTTGCCCCATGCCCAAACTGTTTTTTATTAGCGTGTTTTTATCACAGCAAAAGAAAGTAGAGAAGAAATACACCTTGTAGCAGATTTTGTGTCACACAGAAATTCTGTTTAATTCTTCTGGAAAACATCAATCTGCTTTCCACTGAACTGTTCCATTTTATACTACCACCAGCAATACACAGGGCTCCAAATTCTCTTCCCAATACTTGGGGTCAGGGGCAGAAGAGATGGCTCAGTGGGTAAGAGCACTGGCTGCTCTACCAGAGGACCTGGGTTCAATTCCCAGAAACCACATGGTGGCTCACAACCATCTATAGCCTGATCTGATGCCCTCATCTCCCATGCAGGTGTACATGCAGATAGAGCGCTCATATACATAAAAATAAATTTTAAAAACTAGAACAAAAACAAAAGCAAGCAAACCAATACTTGGGCTCTTCCTTTCTTTCTTTTTGTAATCATCATGGTGGGTAGTTCTGGTTTACATGCTCCCTAATGAGTGTGGTGTTGAATGCATTTTTCATTGCTTAGTAGCCAGGTGTTTTGCTTTGTTTTTAGAGATAGGGTACCTTCTTGATTTGTATCTGAGGATAACCTTGACCTTCTGAGCCTCTTGTCCTCATTTCCCAAACTCTAGATTATAATTATGTGCCATGCCCATTTTACCAGGTGTATATTTCTCTGGTAGAATGCCTATTCAAGCTAAGTCCTCTGCTTGTTTTTTTTTTTGTTTTTTTTTTTTTGTTTGTTTTGTTTTTTGTTGTTGTTGTTGTTTAAACCCAGAGCCTGATGCATAGAAGATGTTAGAAGCCAGCACTATGCCACTGAGAAATGTCTCCAGCATCTGCCTAGTTCTGGGTGTTAGTTGCTGTTGTTTATGAGTGTCTGCACATCCCAGATATTAATTCCTTATGGGAGGGGATTGGTTGGATTGGCTGGTTTTTTACAAAGTCTCACTATGTAGCCCAAACTGGCTTCAAGTTGGTTAAGAAGTCCAACCTGGGGGCTGGGCATGGTGGCACACAACTTTAGCCCCAGCACTTAGAAGGCAGAGGCAGGCGGATCTCTGTGACTTCCGAGACCAACCTGGGCTCCAGAGTGAGGCCCTACCTCAACACACCCCAAAAAGTCCAAGTTCAATTCAAACTCATGGTTCTTGTACCCCAAAGTACCTCCAAGGACAAGGATTACAAGAATGTCCTATATGCCCATCTCAGAGATAGTACTATAAAAGTTTTTATTCATTCTGTATGCTTTCTCTAAAGTATTTATTTTGTTTTCTTGGTGGTATCCTTTGATTCACAAAGTTTGTATTTTGTACTTTTGAGAGTTGAATCCATGGGTTATAAGTACAAAAGTCAAATATTCTACCACTGAGCCACCAAGTTCCCAAATTCTTAATTTTAATAAAGTTCAATTTCTTTTGTTAAAAAAAAAATCTATTAGTTATTATTGTTGTACATAAGCCTCATGTTAGGAAGGGTGCATGTGTGAGATCCGATGACAGTTTGGTGGAATTGCTGCTCTCTTCCCACCTTCGTGGACTCCCACATTGAACTCCAATGTGGTCACCAAGCTGAGACAGCAAGTGCTTTTCCCTCTAAGCAACCTCTCTAGACCTTCAAGTTCTTTTTCTTCGTTGCCTATACTTTTGGTGTCATATCTAGGTCAGGGGAGAAGCCAAATGTTGTAGGACTTCAGCAAAATCCAATGTTGCCAGGATCTTTGACAATGTTTTCCTCTAAGAGTCGTAACATTTACTTGTAATGCATTCATAAAGACTGAGTGCAAACACCAGTTTTGATAAATAGAGCTTTAGCTGGCAACAGCTTCAAAAATTTTTTGAGGGAAGTCTCAAGTGCCTAGATTCTTTTGGTTAATCACTTGTTAAAAATGCAATGCTCACCAATGAAAACAGTTCCAACTTTGCTCACAGAGTAAAGAAACATCTGGGATGGGATTAACTGCTTTTTAATTTCTCTGAATCTATCTGATTTGTTTAGTCTAGATTCCAGAATATTGAGTTTCTTAAAGTAGGTCATATATGCACATCAAAATATCTGTTGCCTTGTAAATATTCCAGTTGTACATAAAGTGCACATACATAGGAAGGGGGTGAGCAAAGCAGATGAGCACAGGAGTCCACACATGAGTCCACACATTCTCCTCTTGCAGTAAGCCTGGGGTGAGCCTCAAGCTCACTTTCCTTTGTGCTCCTTACTGCACATGTGGGAGCTTCATAGTGTGTACATGAAAGACATTTCATTCTTAACTTCCCTGCAACTGCTGAGAGCACAGCAACTTTACATAATATTCAAAAGAATTTCCCACTAAAGTCGTACTCACACAGACTTTAACTGCGCTGTGAACATGCATTTCCGATGAGTTAGTGAACCTTTCTCTCATAACCAAGCGACACCTTTTGAAACCTGAGCAGAGGGATGTTTGGTTTAACACCTACCGACTTTGAGTGTTCAATCCATTAAGATGACTCTCTCTGAGCTCAGACACTAATGACAAAACCATCTGTAAAACAAAGCAGTTGCAGGTCAGCTCAAACTGCCACATAATTACCTCAGCTCCATTTCTCTTGCTGTGAGTGACACCTCCCTTACCATTCCTCCCCCACTCTCTCCTTGTTTTACTTTGCAGAGTGGAAGGAAGGCAGCATCACATCCTGCTGGCCGCCATGTGGGTTCTGCTGAAGCAATGGGCACAGACAAGTCATCCATATCCTAGAATTAACACCAAAGCCACAGAAAACGGAAACATACTGCAGTTTACTTTTTTCCTTCATTTTTAGTCCCTTATCTTTTAAAAAGTGATTTTCATGTGTATGACTTCCAAAACATCAAAATGGCTAACAACTCTCAAAGATCTCACTTTTTTAAAAGCATAATTGTGTGTGGGTGCATATGCCACAGCCTAGATGGGAGCCAGAGGACAACTCTGTGAAGCTGGTTCCTTTCTTCCACCTTTATGTGGGATCTGGGGATCAAACTCAGGTCAACATGCTTTTCATGACAAGCACTTTTACCACTGGGCCATTTTGATATCCCCTAGTAACTTGTCTGCTTTGCTTCAACATAAGTTTCAATGGGGCTATTTTAGATATGACATCTGTTCTGAAGTCTAGGCTGTGTCATTCTGGATGAGGTACTCTTCTCAGAAATCTCTGAGTGAGTGAGATGTGTTTTGAGAGTCCAACAGCGCCTCAAATCTTCCTTCCATGGTCATAAGTCTATGCCAAGTTAGAAACAGAGAAGTTCAACAACTCCCTGGCGGAAGAAAATATCTCATTTACCCTTCACACAACTGGTAATAATTGCAACACTAAACGTTAGATACTCACATTTTTAAGTAAACTAGGATAGTAATCAACAGGTTCAAATCCAAGACTTTTGGTAAAAAGACCGACTTCTTTCATGTCGAATCTGAATGCAGAAAGGACATAAGATAACAAACCCTAGAAAACAAACATAAAGAGAAAAGTCAACTTCTCCAAAGTGGATGGACAATGCCTACAGGCAACATTACCTGTAAGTGCCATGGCCCCTATAAAACCAGCCATTCCACTTCAACTCAAAGCATCAAGCAGAAATGCCAGCACTAACACAAGTACACTAAAGGAAAGTTTAGACAAATGTTATTGTGAAGAAAAACAAATGAGCAGAGGCCAACCACACTGATCACATAGAGAGCCTGGTCATCAACATCTCTAACTCTGTAAAACATGCTTGCACGCTGGAGTTACACATGACAGGGCTTCACGCTTGCCACTAAACTACAGCCTCCAAAGCTCTTTATTACAGACCATGTCAGAATTTGAACCTGATAAAGACCACCATATCAGCAGGGAAAGGAAGTGGTACATAAAAAATGGTGGCTGGAAATTGACTATTCAAAAAAACTAAATATTATTTATACTACTGTCTGAAATAACAAGTTTAATATAAAGAGGCCAATGTAAAAATTAGTAAGAAAACATAAGTGCTTTTCAAGAGTCTAACTGAGGAAAATACCTGCTAACTAAAAATCAAGAAAAAAAAAAAAAGGCGGTTTCTAAGTAAAAATAGAACTTTGCCCTTTTCACAAAACAACATAAGTGCAAGAGGAAGATGGCCAGGGACTAAGGACCACATGAAGAACATCACTGCACAAGCTCCCAGATGGCATGTGCAGAGAGCAGGAAAGGTAAACTGCGGCATTTCTAAGGAAACCACAAGTGCCTAAAAACACACACTACCCAATAGTCCTCATGATTAAGCCAGGACACTGCTGCGGACACCATTAACCCGGTGAGTAAAGGCTTTTGGCAGGCAAGGTCTTGAAAGTGTAGAGTGCCAAGAGACAGGTTCTTGCAGAGTGACCACACTGAGATCCCTGAGGCTTTGCTACCTGAACAAGACATCTTAACAAGTGAACAGAGACCCAGTTGTCCCTATTAAATCTCTCTCAAATACTGTTGATGCACCTGGCATACACAGAAGAAAATAAAGCCACATCTGACACTAGGGAATTATACTAAAAAAGGCTCATTTTATTGTTGTGCTGTGAACAATGTCTGGCAGCAGGGATGAGGTGATATAAACTCCATCTATGCATAGAGGTGGGCAGCCATGACAGCTGATAGCAGGACAGAAGACAAGGCACCCAGTCTGGGTTAAGCTTTATGGTGGGTACAGGCCCCGCAGCACACCTATTGGGTGCCTATGTCTTTATAGCATCTATCAGGAGGATACCTGACAAGTTTCCATTTCATCATGAGATAGTTTATATATTCAACAGTAACGAAGGTTACATGAAAGACTTCATCAACTGTGAGATTTAGTGATGTATCAGAAGCACAGAGACAGGCTCTGTGATATACCCTTTCTACCACTCCACAGCCTTCCTTCCCAAATGGGAAACTCTGATTGAATCTGGCTTGCTCTTTACAGCAAAGAAGGCATTCTCTATGAGTGGGCAACACCTACCTCAGGGTCCTAAGCATAGAGCTCCAGACTGCATTAGAATACCATAGCTGGAAACCTGAGCCTGGAGGCCAAGCCCAGGGCCTCAACTTAGATAAGTTTATAGAGCTGCTGCAGTTGAGGAAGCTACTTCAACTTACACCACAACAAAACCAAGAGACATGGGCAGCATTGCTGACAGAAATGAGCACACCAGAGGAGAAAAAACAGAAACTTATGTGGTGAAAGCAGGCTTTTGGAGCCTGTACTGCAAAGGCTCCTTACTAAAGGGAACACTGACTACGTGGAGCCACTGTATGTTACTGCTGTTTTTCTTTCTGTTCAATTTTGTTCTAAGAGCATAAAGTAAATAAGCTGACCACAGCCCAAGAGAGCTATCTCCAAGTTCTTTTCACCTGTCAAGGGCACTGAGATGAGAGCAAACAGCCCACTGCATCTTCTTCCCTTAGAGTTGCTCACACCACACAGGACTACCTGCAAGCCTCAGCAAGAAAGCAAGGAACATTGAGGCTGATCCCCCATGTGGCTGCCAAGGAAGTACGGTAGACAAAAAAGGTTTCACCACATATCAAAGCCATATGAAAGTGTCCCAGGTGTGACCAACTCAGGAAGCCGGTCAAGCAGTCTTGGTTTGTACATCAGCAGCTCTGGGACTGGCATGATAAAGTCAAGAGAGAGGGCAGCACCTGTCTTACAATTTCGACACGGAAAGCACTTTGTATGCAAGAGCTGCTATACCCGCTCCACAGACCCGCACCCCAGCCCTCACGCTGTATAAATATTCTTATTGAACCTTCCTTACAGGTAAGGGCACCAAGACACAGGGCAGGTGCTGTCCACATCTGGATCCCGCCCTCTTGTCAAATCCCAAAAGGAGATACTCTGAGCCACTCTCCACAAAACTGCTAGATTCAAATCAGACAGTCTTAGAGTAGGCCCTTAATGCTCACAGTCCACATGTCTCCCCAGGGCCAAGAGGCCTGGACCCACCTCTCTGAAAGTGAGAGCAAGACTTCAGATCCAAATAAGAGCTTTCCTAGAAGACAGAGAAAGAGAGACAGACAGACAGAGACATAGAGACAGAGAGAGAAGAAGGAGAAGGAGGGATGAAGAGAGAAAGAGAGAGAGGAAGGGAGAGAGGGAGAGTGACTTGTTACAGATAACATGAAGTACAGGCCTGAAGGGAGACAGTCCCTTGAGTTTTGAATATGACTTTGGGGAGGAAGGAAGTTCTACACATGAGCTAGCCTGTATGTAGAACTGAACTCCAGTTGTCAAGCCTGTGTGGCAAATGCATTATCCATTGAGCCATCTCTCTATTATACCTTTTAATCATAAAGATATTTTGTAAAAGAAAGTCGAATGGTTTACCTTCTGTCCATTTTGTCTGTGATTCCCTAATGCGAACTCCTATGGAGGAGCACAAAGGTCCAGGCCCAGCTCAAACAAGCACAGGTCACAAAAGTGGCCTACTGAGTCCTGCCCTGGGCCAGCAGGCTCTTGAGACAGACACATGTTATTCCTGAAATCTCTCATTTAAAAGTAGACTTCAGGGGCTGGGGAGAGGGCTCAGCAGTTAAGAGCACTGGCTGCTCTTCAAGAAGGACCAAGTTCAATTCCCAGAACCCACATGGTGTCTGACAACCATCTACAACTCTAGTCCCAGATTTAATGCCCACCCTGGCCTCTGCAGTACTGGGCATACATGTGGTGCCTCGACTTAAAATTCAGGCAACAGACTCAAATACAAAAAATAAAAAGTAAAATTTAAACTGTAAAAATTAAACTTGGCTAAGGATGAATCTCAGTGGTAGATTACAGATGAGAACTATCAGTTCTCAGCACCAAAAAAAAAACAGTAAAATAAAAATCAGTGTTTCTCATTGGTAGAGTTATCTGTTTTTACTGCCACCTAGTGGCAAAAGCTTTAAACAAAGAACCACGAAAGGCAAGGCCATCTGATCAGGACTTGAAGACCCTCTGACTCTACCCTCCTGGATCCGGTAACTTAAGGGCTAACAATGAACACAAACCAATGTCTGCAAACAGAATGTGGACAAGTAAACATGTACTGACAGTAAGACAGTGCAAAGGCACCAGCTGGCTCTTTCTAAAGTTTTCAGAGGTGGAAGTACAGAAACTAACATGACTATAACACTTGACATGTGTACGAGCCCTCACAAACACACCTGCCACAGTATGATTGTAAAGGACAGAGGACAGTTTCCTAGAGTCACTTCTCTAAGGCAAACACATGGTTCCCCAGATCAACCTCAGCTTATCAAGCTTGGCAGCCTTTGCCTACTGACACACCTCACTAACCCATATACAATGACTTTTCAAAATATGTATCTTATTTTTATTCGTGAGTGGTTGTCTGCATGTATGTATGTACACAATGTGTATGCAGTGTCCTTGGAGGCCAGAAGAAGGTACAAAATACTTTGGAATCTGAGTTATAAAGAGGGTTGTGAGCTGCCATGTGGGTGCTGGGAACTGAACCTGGGTCCTTTGCAATAGTATTAGCCACTGAGCCAGCTCTACACACACACATACACACACAACTTTATGTTGATTCACAAAGTCATTAAGCACAAAAGAATTCTACTTGAGGAGCACTGGAGATGATTGCTCTAAGCAGGCAAGCTCTCACAGGCGTTTCAACTAATGTTCTGGTTCCGCCCTACCCTACTGCTGCTGTCAGGGCAGCATATTTGTTCCTGGGGAAATTAAGAAGGATTAGAACAATCATGGTCAAGGTAGAAAGAGAAGCTGTGGGGCTTGCTCAAATGAAGGACGAGTAGAGCCAAACTGTGGTCGATATTCCTGGACCAAGACAAAGCATGTGCTTTTCTTACGCTTTTCTAAAGGATTTTTGTCTGATCATTAAAATCTCTTAGAATATCCACCACTATTCTTTTCATTGATCCTGTTTATTTAGCCATGTTTTTTAAAAAAGTAAAAAAAATCCATTTGAAAACCAGGATCCTTTATTCATTCATTTGTCAAACACCTAGAGGGGTGGTATATACTCTACTGAAACAGGTAGGATGAGAAGCCCCCCCCCCCCAAGACTGTGATGGGCAATAGAGACAGGAACATAAGTGCTGTTAGAAATAAGATGGTCCATCAGTGTCTACAGAAACAGGATGATTCTAACCCAATTTTCTGATCACTTCACAGTGATTGCATCTGAGATGGCTCATGGCAACTAGGGAAGCAGGAGATGTACATGAGTGGTATGGGCCTGAATAGCACAAGCAAAACACAACTCAGCAAGAAATGGAGCCAGCAATGAACAACTCATAATGGCCCAGCACCACGGCTGTTGCTCTCACAGGTTCCTAAGTGCAGGCCCCACTCCACACACCTGGCCAAGCTCAACTTTCTAAACTATACACCAGGCCCTAGCATTTTTTTTTTCTTCCAAGGAACCCAACAACTCCTGTCTCCAGTTGCCAAAACTTACCCTTATCTTTCAAAACCCATCTTT